CATCTGTTTCCTACCTGCACTCCTTTCTGGAACTTTTCCTCACCTATCACGGTCTTAATCATACGCAGCAAGGCCCCTCCCTAAAATAACATAAATAAAAGGATGAAAATACTTTTAAAAAGTAGCAATTTGATGAGTGACAGGAGTATAAAAGCGAAACTTGCCTTATCTGCAGTAGTTTGATCTAGGAGCTCCTGAGCTTCTGCGGAAGTCTCTATGTTCAGCGTTAAGGGATGAGAAGATGATCGTGCATCATTCACAAATGCTCGTTCCAGTGATTCACCTGTTTGGTAGCTTTGCTAAATGAATAGATAGTAAGAATTGATCAGTTGAATTTTGATTTATACAGGTTTCCTCTGTTTTAATAAACGATCAAGCAACTTTTTGCTTAAAAATAGCTAGGTTTGCTCGTTCACTCCACTTTGATCGATTCAATTCCGTTATGAAAAAAACTCGGTTGCCAGGAAGATTTTCCACCCTTCCATCAATTTCCTTTTTATTCGTAAATTCGTCAACTAGGGAATCAATAAATTTTAATTTGATTTAGGGCCAGACTAGAGATATTTTTAGAAGATGAGATCTTTAACACTCAATCGATTCGATTTTCTCAATCTTTAGATACAAAAATTAGGATTTCAATGGTAAAAAGATGTACCGCATCAATCTCGTTTTCGTATAACTTCCCCAGCAAGAAATATTCCATGTAATTAGCAAAAGCCTCATTCAGCCATAGTGCATGCCAGTCAGATGGAGTCACAAGGTTACCAAACCACTAGAATTGGGTTATTTAAGGAGTACTTGGTAAGCATTAAAAGGAAATTTATTACCTGACGACTCAATTGGTTAATTAGGGCTCGTGCTACTTTCACTTTCTGTTCCACTGTGCCAGTGGTAGGGTTCACCAATAGATCTTCTTCAGGCATGAAAGTGAGCCCTTGACCACTTGCAGGCATACCGTCCATTACAGGAACAGCAAAGAAATCTTAAAAAGGGAAACATTAGTTCTAATATACAAAATCTCTAAGTAAATCTTTTAGCATTTTTCTTTTTGTATATTTCCCCAATGACTACATTACAATTTACCGGTTTCTTTCAGTTTAATCTATTTCTCAGAATTTATTAAACACCTTGTTTCTCATTGTTGAGTGGAACCCCGAAGTACTCTTGGAGAAGATCCAGCACATTCGCAGCTGTTTTTAAGGCGTGTGTAGTAGAGTTTACGGCTTCTGGGCGTGAATAGACGCGAACCTGGAAAAAAACTGTAGAGGTAGTAAGGACAACTAGCCCAAGGTTTATGGAAATCTGAAACCATCTGAAATTTTCTTCAAGCTTCAAAATAACTTTTTCACGTTTGTAATTTCATATTATTAAAGATGAATGAAAATATCGCGAAATGTGAGAAATTTATT